TAATCTTAAACTTGAAAAGATGGCCACCTATTTACGTTTTATCATTGTTGTATCCGAATATTCAGTTCATTTTTTATCCCATTGTAACGGTGAACTAATTTTTTGACTGAACTATAGGTACAGTCGCCAGCACCATTCATTTATAGTAGAATATTAATAATGCAATACAATATCTGGTCCAAATATGAGTATTGATTTTCGAAATGTATTATCTTGCAAAGTCTGCATTGTGTTGACTTTTTCGGTTGCAGGTGAGACCAGTTAGGATAGTTCCCTTGCTTTTTTTGAAGTACCTGTGCTTATCTCTACAGTGACGTGAAATTTCGTGTGAACCACTGTCACTTATTATGATTTATATCTCAATTAAACCCCTTACTCGACAGAAAATAACTGACTTTCTTTGACTGTTCGATTAAGATAATAGTTCATTTGTCAGAAGCTCATCATATGATTTCATGATTACACTCAAGTAAGGCTTGATACTAATACTGGGAACATTTTAAAACAATAATGAAGGTATTGTATGGTTTTCAAGCTTCATATTTTTTTCTATTTTGAACGAAAGTGATACAGATGACAATTTACTGCTCGTGTATCAACGACTACTTACAAGAAATTTCTAATTGAAATTGAAATTTTCTTGAAATCCGCTCTTTGTCTAATCTTTATTTAATCTTAATCATCAGTTCCTTCAAAGTATTTAACCGTACCAAACATTTAGCACATGATGCAATACTAACCGGGTGAACCAAATCTGTCATGCTTTCTGCTCGTCATAGAAACAACCAGATGTAACAAAACAGATTGTCCTTTCAATTTTTCACATAGAACGGCATTAATACGATCCTTCTAAATGGTTGATTATTATTCTGCATGAACTATATCTATTCTACAACGCAGCATTTAACGGACGATTCTCATTTTGTATCGCGTGTGCGATTAATTGCTGAATGAGCTCCTTTTTCAACTTCCAGCTGTTTCCTTCTGAATGCTGCCATTCAAACCACACGCAAAGCTCATTGAATAAAATAGTGCACCCGATGATTACTTACGAGCCGATTGAAATTTGGTAATCCCGTGTGATGATTGACTAGAATCATAATCTAATAAATTCTGTTCTTATCTTTAATTTTCAGCAAATCTCTTTTAAAAAAAGCAAATGTAGGGGATTGAAATCAGCTGAACTATATACGGTGTTTGGCCGAATTTTACCAAACTTTTGATTAATGGAGTACTAATGGCTTCACGACTTGGTCCTTGAGGTTAGTCCTCCATTAGCTCCAGGAAAAAATATCCAGCATCAGGTCTTTCCAAACCATTCTGAACCAGTGGGTGCTATGCGCGGCATTCTAATTGTTACGTTTCAGTTTTGAACCACTAAAAGTAGATAGATTTACCCTGATAAAGAGAGCCGATCAGATCAAAACAAGGGCTCAGTTCACCTTAGATTTTCGGTTTTCGTTCTGAAATAGATGTACAACCGGATCGAATTCTGGTTTGATGTGTTTTCAAATGATTCCTGACCTGGGAGAGTGATGCTGCAGTGCCGCAAGGTAAAATTTCGCAACGCGTCTACAAAGATGCTTTTCCTTATAGCATGTAAAGGAAAATGAAGTAGGTTGTTGAGTTGATTGTCTTCCAGGTGGTTAAGTGGGTATTATGCTTGCGCTCTACCTGTGAGATCCCGGTTTCTCTCTTCTGTTTGAGTCAATCAGCTTGCATCGTTCATGAAACGCAACCACGTAGTGGCATGTCTTTTGTGCTTCCCACATTTACCTTCATATTTACTATTCCCCATTTATAGAATGTTAATTTTTCCCATTGTCGAAGTTTGTGCACTTGTTAGGGTTGAAGATAATCACGCCCAAACCGTAATAACATAAAACATCATGGCAGTCATCTGACAGACATGCTAGCTTTGGATCTCAATTAGTGAAATCTGTTTCTTTAAGAAAGGAAACTTAAGCATGACAATAAATATCTGATTTTTTTCAGTAGACATTGTCTTACGAAATTTCAATTGTTTGAAGTGGCATCCCAAATTGTTATACCGTTTCTTCGGCAAATTTGTTTTGAGGCCAAAATAGACTTAAACTTGATATTTTCGATTTATTCAAAACTATTTAATTACTGCCCTTTGAAGTTGTACAGCAGTGGTTCCCGAAAAAAACGCCCCAGTTTAAAGTTCGAACTATTTATTTTTCTTTGCTGGAACTGAATTGGGTAAATGATTGCTGTCGGGTCTCAAACGTGAAACGGAAACTAAGAGGACAGTTTACCTATGACAAATACAATATATCTGCTTTAAACATTATTTATTTGAGAACTTTTGCTTACCGGATCACAAGAGTTTTGGATCATTGGTTGATCTCTTGACGAAATTTGTTTTCATTGTTAATTTGTTTTGTGTTTGCTGTTCATATTCAGAAAATCAGTTAGTACCAATTGGTTTTCCCTCTTCATAAGTATTCATGCATTAATCTCACCTGACCGTAAGCAAATAGACTTAAACGAACCATTCTTCACAATACTTTGAAGTTCTAAGCTGACAAATTATCCGTCGTTCAGTCTTGTTTGTACGGGGCGAGAATTGATGGTTTTCACATCGATACAGTGAATTAATTCCCCAAATGTTTCCTAATTTTGGTTAATTAATGTTCCTTATCTGTTACCACATTCAATACATTTTAGATAGATGAGTGCTTGATTTCGATACATTCTTATTATTACAGACCATTTTATTTCGCTTTTACAGAGGACTTTGTCCGAAATTGGTCCTATGTTCTGCATTCCCGCAGGCAGACTATGCAGGACCCTGGGTCCCTTCCTGAATTTTCATTGTATATTTCTATGATCAATGAACCTTAAAAAACCTATAGTTCTCATTATTCTTGTTATTCTTCAATCCACGAAACTGACCAACAATTGGACAAACACAATACACTATTTTGACCCAACGCAGTCAACACAAGTGGACTAAGGCAAGTCACGTGACCAAAATCAATAGTCATGTAAAGTCTGTAATCAATATACCCGTTCTGCAGGAGTATCAGAGGAAAGTATAGCAATACACGCCATTTGATCTGGTGACGATTCGCAGAAGCGCAGTGTTTGAACAGCTATCTTGACGCACGCGGAATCTAAAACATCCAGTTGGTGAAACTCTTTCGGTTCATAAATTAAAAGATTCAACATATTGGAGTTTCTCCACAAACACTTTTAGTCACCTCGCTTACGTTTTGTCACATTTGATTCACAAACAAATAGTGCATAGCGAATATAGGTTTGGTCCCTTTACCGAAGTAAATATCGTTCTTGGACTCATAATTTATTACCCTGTTAGCTCGGTCACATCAGAAAACTTTCCTGATCTAAGATCTTGATTTTACAGTGAGTGAACCCGAAGCCATGAGGCAGCAATTTTCAGTCTAGTCTTCACAACCCACACACTTAGTTGCTGCTTTTCATCTGCTCGGTTTATAGTTTGCACGCACTACCACAATAACGATACAAAGAGCACGTAGCGTCACTTGTAATCAACACAATCATCTCACCCTTGACTAGGCTAGCCACGATCTACTCAAGCAGAGAGCCCAGTGCTACTTATACAATCAAAATTTTGGTTGATATTTTGATAACTCCATTTGAAACATGTTTGGCCTTCTCGAAATCACTGCATACCTCTGTGGCATACGTGATCTAATACAACCCGTTGAAGAAATGCGGTGATCACTCATCCTTTTACAGAGAGCTGAATATTACTGCAGCGCCAAAGGTATCTCATCTTGGTAGACTCTAACCGTCTCATTTATCAGTAGTCACATTAAATTTAAAATTAGTCTGTTTCGGGTAATGGAACTGCTGAAGTAGCAAGAATTTTGTTTCTTCTCCATTTTCTCTTCAGTTCGAGCAAAACGGAGGACTGCAGCAATCCGGTTGTTGGAATATGTAAAAAAGTAGAAATGAAGTAGCACTGAGATCATGCAGAAAGGCTTGCAATTTACTTGAAAAATTATATATACATCATTCAGGAAAAGTCATTTTATTGTGCATTTCAAAGGCTTTTCCTTATCATACTGCCTATCTATTTCGAGAAAAATTCTCAGAGAACTGCCAGAACTGGTAGTGACACGAGTATACTTCGACCGCTGGGTCTCAGTCTGAATTATTAACCATTTTGCTCGGCCTATCTCACGGGTGGTTTGACGAACATGGCAATATTGGCGTTCTGGCTACGAACATCTACAAGATTCCTGTTCTGAGTACGTGTATACAGCATGACCGGCCTTTAGCAAATTGAAACGAAATATTTATTTACATTAGCATTGTTTCACCTGTTCCCTTTTATTTTTTATGCCAAAGGTAAACTAGTTGTTTAAAAGGGTCAAAATGGAGAAAACATGATCGATTTTTTCGCGTACACAAGCAAGGAAGCAAGCATGCATACGTACACACATACATGAAAGTAGAGTGAAATGCATTGGAACGACCCATGACAGTGGGGACAATGTTTCCCGTCGACAAATATGTAGGTCAAAGGGATATGGGTCAAAACGAGGGAGTGATCAGTTGGAAAGCAAAATCACATAGTGGCCCAGTTTAGGATTCAGGGGGTATAAATTAAATTGGTTACAATGCCACGTTGAGATAGGCTACAAACGATATCACAAACACAAGGGTTGGGGTAACACGAAAAAGGGAAGTGAACGGATTATCCAGTTGCACAAAGAAGCACCTTAACTTGCCAGCGCTTTTGCAAACTTTACCAAAGCAGAACTTCACGTTCTTGTGGTCTCGAGAACTGAGGTAAAACCTAGCGAAAACAGCATCTTTAAGCATAAATCATTTACAAATCTGGTATTCAGTTGTCACCTCAACTCTCTACATGGGGAACAAAATTGCAACAGACACCAGTTCTACCAGAGAAGAACAATTCCGAAAGACAGATAGACTTGTACATCATTTGAAAGTTTCATTCACTTCACATGGAATGACAATCTCTACTTTTTCTTAGAGATCTTTGTTGGCGGGACTACGATGACTGGGACGTTAGCATTATGTAGAATATAATCACTCACACTGCCCAGAAATGTCCGTCGCACGGTCCCGATTCCACGATTTCCAACGACTATCATTTGGACATTCTGATCTTGAGCAAGACGCACAATATGTTCTCCGGGTTTGGTGCCCACATGAATTGTAAAACGTGCGGCCAAACCGAGACTTTCACAACGAGAGAGAAATTTACCTCGAAGCGCTCGACCAGATTCAACCAATTTATTAATGTGTTTAGCAAAATCGTCTTTCATTGCTGGCGATTTACTGGCAATCCCATAATTAATTCCCGGTGAAGCAGGTTCCACAATATGAGCCAAATAAAGTCCATCTCCAGGTCGCATTATATTTTCCAAGTACCAGTTGAACGCACGTTCGCTGTGCTCGCTTCCGTCCACCGGCATTAGAACACGACGTTCTGCATCCGATAAATTGTTATTTCCTTGCGTCTCACCCGAATCAATACACTCCACCGATGACCTTGCTTCTCCTGACATCGTGGGAGACCGGACAAGTTTACTGCACCACGGACACGACAATTGATGAGAGCTTTGTGTCGCACTAGGGCGTTGACACAACAGTTTTCTTTGTAAGGCTGCTTTCAATGGTTAACCAATCACCGCTCGACCAGGTCACGCAGTTTTAGTTGGATCAATTTGCCGTCGATGTCTGATTGGTTCAAAATATATGGGTTATTCAGCCGAATGCACCAATAGCGTTCCTGATTGGGGTAATTGAATTGTTATTTGTCTTCATTTGTAAATCATTCAGAGATGACTAATGATGTTTTATTTCAAGAACTGCTCGCTTTTAAACAATCAATAAAGGAAATAAATTCCAAAATTAATTTCAACAATCATGATAAAGGAAACCTAAAAGCATGCACATTAGGAAATAAAACAGACTACTTTTCCGTGTACTTCTTCATTCATATCAATTTAGAATTAAACGGGCAAATAATGATTGGCGAAAGTTGTTGAGCTATTTTTCCCTGTTGTATCTGGCTCAGAATCGTCTATCGAGGGCTGCTTGATGCCACATTCTAATCGTTAACACACAGAAGCTCAGTATACGGTATATAGATATTTTTTAATTTTTGCCTCTGTCCCTAGTTGTGCAGGAGTATCAAAACCTTATTTACGTTCACGCACGCGTCTACTCATTATGTCTCACGTGTTTCAAATGATATATTATCTAGAGCTACTGTCTGAATAAATGGGTGTTCGAAGGCCACGGTGTACCACTCGCTTTTGCAAGGGGTGCGGGTGTGAGTTAAAGGTTGATGCTATTATAAGGTTTTGTTATGTAAACACCTGTGATGAATGGTGGTGTCGTAAACTTAGAGTTTTGTGCTTCCTGTCGAACGAAGTTCTCCACCGTTGCAAATAGCACTTTATGTCTTAATGATAATCGTCTTAACGACGATGATCTTAAGATATCTGCGTATACTGCAATGCTTCAAATTTATTACGGTGTATTGCTAACATCATAATAATGCGGGTCATCTAAATTGAACGTTTTTCATATCTGAAAATTGCTCTGTCTCATTTTCTATTCTACTCAAAGTGGACCTCCATCCACTGAATTGTTAGTTGCATTTGACCATCAGTGAGCCCTGACACTTTCCTCATATTGTTTACCATATTTGAATAGTTTTTAGTACCTGTCCTAACTGGGCTGATGTAGCTTTCATTTCCTCCTCAGTGTACTTGCTTCTTGGTTCGAAGAAGTCCGTATCAGCCATCTTATCAGTACTCAAATCAACTTTCCCCCTGTTTCCCTCATGAGATTGTACGGGTTGATCAAGTGACAGTGTAAATTTTGTCATGAATTGCTGTATCAGATCGGTTCAACCTGAATTTACTACTATTTTAAATATGTATCCTATGGTGAAGAGCCTTGTTTGATTCCCCGAAAATAAGTCTGTTGATTGGCAAATATCAACATGCGTTGTAGTAACATATCAAAGAGCTGAAACCCTTCGGGAGAATATGACTCATACTCTCCAGTCGTTACCCTGGCATCGCAAGGCATTTGACGCATTCAACAGAAAGCTAATATTGTTTTTTCTGGTCCGTCTATCTGACCGAGAAGTATGGTGTTCGGTAACGAAAATAACTACACAGTCATCAAGATTATCGCACTGTGCGGAACAGGGGAGTTTCAGAAATAAAAGAAGTATCGGATCTTCAGTTAAACATGAAACGATTATGGGAAAGGAAAACAGAATAAGCAAGTTTCACACGATTTTGTCTGACAATGAAGAGAATTCTAAAGCTGTTTTTATATAGAAGTTTAAAGTCAACGCACATGAACCGATAGATGGTTGCTAATGGGTCTGTCAAAACAAATAAATATGCCCTCTCTCTCTGAAGCAAACGCTATTTGTATATTGTTAGAAAACAAAGGAATAAAGTGTTCAGATGTCAATACCGAATCTTACAGTTCCCAAATCGATGGGTTTTTTTGCTGAATTCAATCAAAAATTGCGGTGGAACAAAAGCGGAGAGCCACACTAGGCACGTATACAGTATTGCAGCGTGAAATTTAGTTGAGCCTTATAAAACCTGATAACCGGATAAGGAACATAAATTACACGTTCCTGGACGAACATGCCACAAATTTGATGGAATTAGCGAATCAAGATAAAGGAAACCAAATTCAGTGTGATGTGACTCGAAAATTCAAAATCTGAAGATACACAAAAGTGGAATTATAAGCTGACGTTCAGCCCTCATAAATATTCATCCAGCCTGTGTTTTTTACCTCCTTTTATTGAATATATGATGATACAATATTACAAAATAATACAAAAGAGCTGCCATACAACAAGCAATTAGGCAAGTCAGTAGGTGGTGGTTTTGATTCGAGCGCAAGCTCCTGGGGAGATAATTTGGCGACCTTACCACCGGGCCACCACTGCATTCATCATAATCATGTTCACTATCCATCTAATATTAATTTATTGAAGTGTACCTTCGGATAAGAGAATCGCTGCTTTCGTAGGCAGAACTGTTGGCTCTATAACATAGACGATGACAGTAGCCTTAGAAGTAACCGTATAATACAATACAGCCAATCACGAGCCGCTTGAATGAATAATGGCAGAAAACGTGATCGTCGGGTAGTGGTGGCATTCGGCAACACAGTATCTCCGAGTTCATGAAAGAATCGTGTTTAAAAGCAACTTTGTGCATCTAACTGGTCGAAATGGTGAACTGAAGTATAGGAATAAATTTATAAAGTAGCCCAGAATTGATTCCGAATTCCGTTTTCGTACGTGATTAGTTTATTTGCAGTCAGTCGATTAACTGTTAAAAATATCCCTCCATGCTCCATAATGAACTCAGCGCATTCAACAACACATTAAGCTTCTCCAAATGCGTACGATAAAACTGGATAAAGTCAACAAAATTCCCAAAATTCATTTTTTTAGTATGAAAAAAATGGTTAGTATTTTCAATAAAGTCCATTTTCTAGCCCGATTTGTAAGGGGAGATGAATTGGGTTCCTACTCACCAATCACTTTGTCCGCAAATTCATTCTTACATCATCCCACACTTTTGAATTTCTATTTTCTTCGAATCGATGCAACAGATTAATGAGCCAGTCTTTGCATAGTCTCAAAAGCAATGTCAAGTAATTTTTGAAACATTCTCTCACACTTTTGTTCGCATTCATTGATCTAGCTCGTTGCTCGATTCTTCTTGTAAATAAAGAAAACTTCAAACATGTCGACAAATTAGTTCCGAGTCACACTCTAAAGACCAAAACCGTTGGGTCCCTCCGATGCGGTTCTGGGCTTCTTTGTGGACGGACCATGTTGGTTGTGAACCAAGGCAACAAAACGATCACGTGCAACTCATCTATTTAGTATCGAAACTTGTGTTTTCTCTCTATACTTGGGATCAAAACATAATTCCCCTCCAAAAACGATCCTATTTCCATTTTCTTTTCATTTTTAGAATTGTATTTTGCCCTATTGTATATATTACGCATGAAATGTACAGGGTCAATCGAATGTCTTTATTTAACGTAAATACTTCTACTATCACAACGATGGTATTTTAAACGGTAATCACTAAAAGCACTGTCTATCAGAAAAAGTACAAATATTCAACTATTTATATATTAAAGATTTGTTTAATCCTAATGGATTGCAGCTAAAAAAAGCACTAGAGCAATGTCTACTGTTAATCTCCGTTGCGCAGATTCTGCGACTTTTACATCAGAACGTCAACTCACCCTTTCCGCTTGCTGCTGACGGATGTTTTATAAGGTGCGCTGCAAAGAAATTCTTACTCCGCCCTCAAGGTAACCTTAGGTGTGGTAAGGAAACACTATATCTTGGAATTTCGACATGTTCATTGCAAACCGACAGTCCCAGGGACAAAGTGAGCACCACATGCGGGAAGTCCCTAAATGTGAATAATACGTCAACCGTCAACTATTTGAATAGAAGCCATCTCGCCCACACACGTTGAAATGAACAGCAAAGAATGTGTAAGCTAATTCACAAGGACTATTGCAGTTTATTTATCGCTCAAGGTTACAGATTGACCTAAACCAGTTACGAAGTTTCTCCAAGCAAAGCTCTTGTGGACGTCAATAAACGAAACTTTCTTAACTGCTTTGTCATAGATTGATCTTTCCAACGCGGATCGAATAAACTGACGCTTTCTAGTTTCGATCAAAAAGTTTGGAGTACCGAGTAACTCAATAGCTTTGTGAGCACAAGCAATAATCCGGTAGCTTCATATTCTGATGCCAGAATGTTGTATGTAAATGCGCAAACATTTAAATGTCAAAATCTCACCTTCGTGTGTTTGTGACAAGATGCCATCAAGAGTTAGTAGTAAAAACAGAATGTTTGAAGACAAGCTCCTCCGGCACCATCTTACTGATTAGGGAGTATTCGTTAATAGACTCAACAGACGCAACAAGTTACAAATGCCCATATGATCAAATTTAGTAATTCATCGTAAAACAAAAATTTACACCAGGATACATTCCGTATCCTTCTGTAATTACCAATGAAATACCACAATCATGGATATGTTCCCCTATAAATTTGTTGCCCTAGACGTTTTACATAGTCCAATATAAACTACGTCTGCTGTACTGGACGCTATATTATCAAACACTCAAATTTAGAATGTATGCAAAGCGAATTTCTGGCTTTGTCATTTAAGATATCTCTAATTCATTTCGGGATGTTTCCTTCTTTAAACGTTCAGTAGCCTCGATGGGACTCGAATCTACGCATTGGCGCTGCCTACGTTTTGAACAGCGCACGCTCTATCAGCTGAGCTGCCGGGCTACATCTATAGTACTGAGCTCTTAACATTGCTTTTATCCATCTCACTTACAGTGGCATATGGAATCCATCAGTTGGCATGTAGGCTAAATGCCACGACAGGTTTTCTTTAGAAAGCCACCGGAATTCATCGAATGAATTTCTAATGTAAAGGCGTAGCAGGCACATGTGCGTGGGTTC